ATTTGTGATTGCTGTTTTATTTTTAGCTCTAATTCAGATTTCTCCACATTATTATTTTGGTCCTTCGCCCCCCTCAGTCGCTGGAGGCAGATCAGATTGTTTTGAACAGTGAAGCTCATACAGCAGGGATTATTGCAAAGTCACTAGCGGCGCTTCCATTGATCCCCAAACTGCGTAAATAAAATTAGCTTAATGGTAAAATGTTGTTTTTAAAATAAATTAACATTGTTCTAAGAAGAGTTTTTTAGGCGGAGTAATTGACCAAATTAAATCACTTTTTTTCCATCGTCAAATCAGACAAATCATGAACAACAAGATGTTAATACTGACTAAATGAAGGATGATGGTTCGGCTTGATTTCAACCAGTTAGTGAGTTAAACTTATCCATGAGTCAATTTCCTTTTATTTCTTAAAGAATGGAAACACCACAGTTTGGTCAACATTAGCAGAATGTTGACACATTTTGGTGCATATTGTAATGGAAGGAATCTGGAAACTGCATTAATGTTTTTATTTAAAGAAGCCTTCATCAATTAACTCCATATTTCTAAGTGGGAGAACTTGCAAGTTGACGTTTCTTGTTATTACATTGACATTCAATTTTTGCCATCAAAATATCCATATTTTTTGAATGTTACAAAGGTAATAAGGTCTTGGATCCTGGATCCTAATAACAGTATTGGCTTGAAATTTGGATTTTCATTGAGTGCCCCTTAAAGGGTTAATGGTGTCCCACAAATACTGAAAATTTAAAAAGTGTAAAACTAATTTCTAAAGACAAAAGTTAAAAAAAAAACACTTTTTAAAAAGTAAAATAAAATCTGAGAAACCAGCAAAGTTCCACCCTTTTTTGATTTAAAAAAAAAACATTTTCTTTCTGGATTGCATTTTTTCCATATTTCGTTTTACAAAATGTGTTCTTTGCAAAAATAATGGAACAAAGTTCATGCCATAAAAAGCAGCTACATATGCTAGCTTATGCAACCTGATGCCAATTTTTAAGCTCATCCTCTAAGCATTTGAAAAACAAATGTCCAGGTATGAGAATTTTATCCACTTTAAGAATAAAAGTTGTTTTTTAACCAGGTAAAAATCAGTTTTCACTCTGCAAAAGCCTGCTTGCTGTATGTGTAAGAATGTGGAGCACACTGAGGGTTAAAAACACATCAGCAGAGCGAATCTTTTCAACTTGATGGAGTTTAAATTTATGAAAGGATGGGAAAATGAGAGGGATTACTGGGAGTACTTAAATCATCAAGCCAGAAACGGCATCAGATTCTCTAAAAAGAAGCTTCAACATCAGTCTACTGCTGCGTCGCCTCGACGACTGAGCATCCACCAGAACCACACACGCTGTGAGGAGCAGACAGAGGAGTAAAGGTCACATGGTGTCTTCAAGGCATGTGATATAATGCAGCAATGGGAGGCAACTGGTTACCATCCGGGGCTTACACAACCACTGACGCTTGGTTACATCACATCATTCCACGTTAGAGATGGGATGTGGGGTCTGGTCTCTCAATGAGTCCAAACATCTTTAATAACAACTAGTTTGTTCTCTCCAAGAGATGAATGAGGGATGACCTGATGACCGCGTTTCACGCTTTCTCTCAGCGTGAATGCTGGCAGGCTCCTTCCAGTCACAAGCGTCTCGGTGCATTAGAGAACAGGAGACCCAGCCTACGGGGACAGGTCATGTGACCGCACACATGAAGTCCCTCTCCTCACAGCTGCAATAAAAAAAAGCAGCTTTTATTTTTGATAACCGAGTGTAGATCCTGCAGACGCCTTGCTTCCCATCTGTCTTTGAGATTCCACAGCAGGTTTCTGCAGATTGTCGCCACTCCCACGATGCATCTGTGGCCATGACGCCTCTAAATGTTTGGGCTGCAGATTGTGAGACTGTTGGCAGTGCAGTGTCACATATAAAATTGTGATATTTTTCAGTTATTCTTAGGTGAATAAATCTGTTTACGGTTAATGCACAACGAAGCGCATTTATGCCCTCATGTAAAAGAAGAAGGAAACATTTTCTAAATGCCAGCAGAAAACCATCCGTCTAAAACCTGTTTCTCCTGCAATCCTGCTTCTGTTCCGCCTCCTTTAGAGGCATTGCTTCTCTAACAGTCTGATGGAGGGGTCACCGATAGGCGGACCCCAATCCAGAATGCAAGTGATGTCTCATATGGACCAGAAACTGATACCAAAACAGAAACAACAACCTAAAATCTTGTTGAGCACGAAATAAAAAAATTTATGAAGGGGGATACTCATCCACAAACTCTGACACTAACCTCTCCTCCTCTTGCATGTGTCCGCTGTCCATAGCGTTCCTTGACGGTGTTGATTACAGGTGCTGGTCATAAAATTAGAATATCATGAAAAAGTAGATTGATTTCAGTAATTCCATTTAAAAAGTGAAACTTGTATATTATATTCATACATTACATACAAACTCATATATTTCAGATGTTTATTTTGTTTAATTTTGATGATTACAAATGACAACAAATGAAAATCTCAAATTCATCATATCAGAAAATTAGAATATTACTGAAGACCAATAAAAACAAAGGATTTATAGAAATGTTGGCCAACTGAAAAGTATGAACATGAAAAGTATGAGCATGTACAGCACTCAGTATTTAGTTGGGCCTCCTTTGGCCTGTATTACTGCAGCAATGCGGCGTGGCATGGAGTCGATCAGTCTGTGGCACTGCTCAGGTGTTATGATAGCCCAGGTTGCTCTAATAGTGGCTTTTAGCTCTTCTGAATTGTTGGGTCTGGTGTATTGCATCTTCTTCTTCACAATACCCCATAGATTTTCTATGGGGTTAAGGTCAGGAGAGTTTGCTGGCCAATTAAGAACAGGGATACCATGGTCCTTCAACCAGGTACTGGTAGCTTTGGCACTGTGTGCAGGTGCCAAGTCCTGTTGGAAAATGAAATCTGCATCTCCAAAAAGTTGGTCAGCTGCAGGAAGCATGAAGTGCTCTAAAACTTCCTGGTATGTGGCTGCGTTGACCCTGGACCTCAGAAAACACAATGGACCAACACCAGCAGATGACATGGCACCCCAAACCATCACTGACTGTGGAAACTTTACACTGGACTTCAAGCAACGTGGATGAAGTGCCTCTCTTCTTTTCCTCCAGACTCTGGGACCTTGATTTCCAAAGGAAATGCAAAATTTACTTTCATCAGAGAACATGACTTTGGACCACTCACCAGCAGTCCAGTCCTGTTTCTCTTTAGCCCAGGCAAGACGCTTCTGACGCTGTCTGTGGTTCAAGAGTGGCTTGACACAAGGAATGCGACAGCAGAAACCCATGTCTTTCATACGTCTGTGTGTGGTGGTTCTTGAAGCACTCACTCCAGCTGCAGTCCACTCTTTGTGAATCTCCCCCACATTTTTGAAGGGGTTTTGTTTCACAATCCTCTCCAGGGTGCGGTTATCTCTCTTGCTTGTACACTTTTTTCGACCACATCTTTTCCTTCCCTTCGCCTCTCTATTAATGTGCTTGGACACTGAGCTCTGTGAACAGCCAGCCTCTTTAGCGATGACCTTTTGTGTCTTGCCCTCCTTGTGCAAGGTGTCGATGGTCGTCTTTTGGACAACTGTCAAGTCAGCAGTCTTCCCCATGATTGTGTAGCCTATAGAACTAGACTGAAAGACCATTTAAAGGCTTTTGCAGGTGGTTTGAGTTAATTAGCTGATTAGAGTGTGGCACCAGGGGCCATCAATTTTGAACCTTTTCACAATATTCTAATTTTCTGATATGATGAATTTGAGATTTTCATTTGTTGTCATTTGTAATCATCAAAATTAAACAAAATAAACATCTGAAATATATGAGTTTGTATGTAATGTATGAATATAATATACAAGTTTCACTTTTTAAATGGAATTACTGAAATCAATCTACTTTTTCATGATATTCTAATTTTATGACCAGCACCTGTATAAGTCACCAATTTAGTGCCACAACAATCCCGCCCCCTTTAGAAACGACCAATCACATTCACTTAAATCACCCGTGTAAAGTCGGGCACCAATCAGGAGAATTTGGAAATGCAACTGTAGAGCAAGCCGTACCCCTACGACTTTAATACATCTAAAATTAAGCTAATACTGGGGTCAAAGGTTATGCAGCACATCTTTAATGCTTGTTAGTAACCAAGAGATGACAGGGTTTAAAGGGTTGGTTTGTGATAAGGATGAAAGTTAATGACTAATGAATGGATCAAAAGTTTATTGATCTTATCGATGGACTAATAATAACAGAAGGATCTTTCAATAACAGGGTGGGATGATTTTTTTTTCAAAATATGCTATGTTTGAAATATATATATATGGTGCATCCTATTTTTTGGAATGTTTTCACACAAACATTTTAGTGAAAAATAAAAATATCAGTTACTTAATCAGCTTCTTTTTGCCAGAACTGATTTTTTTCAACCCAAAACCTTCTGGAAGCATCAGAGCTGCAGTCGGACTGAATCAGCGTTGGATAACTGGGACGCCGACAGTTTGTTTAAAGCTGGATGAATGTAAAGGGAGCCTGGGGACGGAGCACCTGTCTCCCTGCGTCTCTGTCTCCCCGACACGTCCCCCGTGTCTTTGTCTGTCTCTGAAGGTCACTGCTGTTTATCTAAGAGTTACACAACCACCCATTGTGGAGGGAAGTGGGTCTGTCTCTCTCTCTCACACGCCAACTCTTATGATTAACGTTGCCATAGCAACAGAGAGTGCAGAATCCATCCTGCAGCTTTCCACACAGAAGTCTGCAGCATCTGATCAATCATTCCCCGCCTGCTTTCTGACCTCTGACCTGTGCAAAGTGGCGCACTGAAACCAGCAAACCCATGAGAAGGAGGATAAAACCAGTGGAAACTAGAAATCCTGCAGAACTAAAGTCACTTTTAAGCAAATATGTCGTCCTCAAAGCGAAGCTCAACTCCACCTACGATGTTAGCGTTAAACCATCAGATGACTCACCATGGTGATCACGTTTTCACCGGGTACAACCTGCCAGCCAAAGTGATCCGGTTCCACATCCTGATGCAGCTGTTCCAGCAGGTCCAGGCTTCGCCGGGCGCCCAGCTCCGGCTGACGTCGAGACGCGGGCCGCTCGGGGTGACGGTGGTGGTGCTGGTGGCGCTGATGGTGGCGATGGAGGTGGGAGCGGGACTCTGGCAGCTCGTTCTGCTCTCTATGGGGGTACAGAGATGGAGCGAGGCGACCCGGCTGAGGAGTAGGGAAGGAGCCTCCGGCCAAATACTCTGAAAGAAAAGGAGGATTTGTTCAGTTATTTCTGAACCTTCAAAGCAGGAATCGAACTGACTGCATTTCTAATCAGCAAAGGGAACGCTGAAATCTAGCAAAATATTAGGAATAACACAGAAATAAGTTTAACAAACAAACAAAATAAAAGAGGAATAAAACTAATAAATTAATTTCTGCTTAGAATGATTAGAAAATAATAAAGAATGAAAAAAAAGATGCAGGTTGATACAAAAATTATCTCAATGTTAAACTTTTAAAGCTTAGGGATTTACTTTTAGCTGGCAGTGGAAGTAAAGGGAAACCTTCTCTGTTTTCTTAGTACTGCCACCTGCTGGACTGAAGGTATAATACTCAGACCGACTGATTCCACAGGACTCCCGTTAGCTGGGTGATAAAAATCTCGGAACAAGAAGTTCATTTTCTTTTGATGAGGGTAGAGCTAAGAGGTGATTTTGGCCACTCCAGCTCCCTGTATTTAGTGTATTTAGTAGTTAGTTCGGGTCAGGAAGCAGCAAAGGCACAGCAATAAAGCGTGCCTCCCATTTATGGCCACATGGGGCGTAGTCCTTCACATAACCGAAACAGGTTCAAATCCAAACTATTGACTTTTTGCCCCTAAAATTGTAGGGAATTGGCCATTCTAATCTTTTCTCCCGAGTGGTGCCCGACTTTACACAAAAGAATAAAGTGAATGTGATTGGTTGATTATCAAGGGGGCGGGATTGTTGTGGCGGAAGGTTTGCAAGCCTATTTGGTTGTGGCCCGTTTGTTGGAAGCATCTTGCTAACCAGTTAGCAACTTAGTGCTAGTAGGTTCCCAATGGGAAATTCCATTGGGACCAAGTAGCACTAAATTGGTGACTAAGCAACGACACTGTCAAGGAACGCTATGGAGAGCGGAAACTGCAAGTTCCCGCTTGTTTCCAAAGACTTTAAGTTTTCCATCCAGGAAGATTTTTTAATTCAACGCTTCTTGGATTTGAAGCAAAATGTCTTCAAACTTGGAAACAAAGTCCAGTGGGTTGTTTTTTAACTGTTTTGGAAAGACCACCAGCGCCCCTCAAAACTCAGCCATGATCTCTAGGAATCTGAAACACAGAAAATCAAAGTAAGAAGTTTAAGACGGAACAATAATCCATAGGATTATTATAGATCAGGAGACGTTTTCTGTAAACCTCGTCAGAACAGGATTACCAGTAACTATCATCCTTGCCCAGACAATAAAGACAGGAGAAAGATTTGCCTTTAAAACTGCTGGCTACCTACAGTGTTCACCCACTTTCAGTTGGTGTTTTAAACACGTCGACCTCGAACACATCACGCTCAGCAGAGCTCCCAGAGATGCTGAGACAGCAGAAATGGACAGATCCCATCTGTCCCAACTCAGAGCTCAGTGGGCAGCACGGAGAAAACCCCTGAAACTAAATCAAACCAACCGTGACAAACATGGACTCTGAATAATTCATTCATAGTCTTTATTTAACCCGAGTGAGAAAAACTGCCAGTCAGCTTCAGATACACCAGAATAAAGATCCTCCAAATCTTTTAAACAGAATCTGAACCATGCGGATTATGTCCTTCTAATCTTGACAAACCAGTGAAACCAGAACAAATGACACATGACATTTGTAACTACAACTTGAGATTTCAGGATTTTCAGGAGTAGAAGCAACCAAAACCCAGAATCATTTTCATTCATCCATTCAGAAAATATAAGAACATCTGGCTTGATGCTGCTTGGTTCTGTTTTTCTTTTGGTGAACACTATTCTCCATTAAGGCTGCTCAGTGGAGCAGTGGGTAGCTCTGCAACAAGTAGGTTCCAGGTTAGATTCCCGGCCCGGGGTCTTTCTGCATGGAGTTTGCATGTTCTCCGCACATGGGAGGGGTTCTCCCTTTGCATGCGTGGGTTCTCTCCAGGTACTCCGGCTTCCTCCCACAGTCCAAAAACATGACGGACCACGCTTCAATATTGGGCATAAATCAAAAATATCTGCATCAAGCTCACAGCGACACACTGCTGCAGCAGGATAACCAGCCCTTAAGGCCACGTGGTCAGGTGGAAATGACGGATAAATCTGCACATCGTCAGTAAAGTAGAGGTTTTTGATCTGATCCAGTGAGGTGACGGAGCAGATATGGAAAAGGAAAGAGGCCCCAAGACTAAGCCTTGGAGGACCTTTCCCTGTAAAGCCTTACATTGTGTTACAGGAAGAGTCAAAAACAGCTAATAAGTCGATGAGGATGGGTACTGAGGACTTGGCTGAAATTCTGGCTGCAGGACACTGGATTGTTAATCCTAATCTGATGTCTTCTCTTCTCTATTTTACACTGTGTGTCATTCATTTTAAACCTGGTTTAAGGTCACAAAAATCAAATGATTTACTAGCTGGAAATAAAAAAAAATGACCTTACAGAGTATTCCCCACACTGTTTAAAGATGATGACAGACTAAAGACAGCAAAAATGATCAGATCTGTGAAAACAAAGATTTATCAGTGCTTCTGTCATTATTCTCATCTGAAATCTCTGTTTAACAACAACAGGATTCCGCAGAGATGCTGTGGACCTGACTCAGCTTTCTCCCTAACGACAGCGTCCTGGTTGCTATGCAGGATGCTGAGCTGAGCTCTGATTGGACCGGGAGCATCATGCCTCTGTTAAAGCTGGAAGCAAATTACAGGAAAAATCAGAGCTGGAACCAACTCCCTTATTTGATCCGTTCGTAAACACAAACACTGAGCGAGGAACACTTCCTTCATTTAAGATTCTCTAAATGTTTTGGATGAAGGGAAGCTTATGAGGAGATAATCTGATTTAAGCTTGTGTTACCGTCACACAGCTGTAATAAACACACAAATCTAAAGAAATACCAAGAAAAATCAGACTGCTCCTGTAGTTTGATGCTTAGAAGTGAAGCTTAGAGTGTTCAGAGTAGAAAACGCTAGAAGCTCAGTCTGCTCCTCTAACGTAATCAGCCTCACAGCTGCTGCCTCACAGCTGAATCATCAATCACAAGAACCATAATTTGGCTCCCAGTTTCTGCCTGAGAGCGACCTGCTGACCACGACAGACTAATCAAATGTTCTCCATCTAATCAACCCCCCCCCCCCCCCCCCACACCACCACCGACAGGGAAAAACACCACATGAGATAAACACTGAGACGGTTCCACATGGTAAAAACATGGCAGCCTTATTCTCCTTCTGGACGGACACGATGAGAGCCGGTGTTCTGTCAGAGGAGCGTACTTCTTCAGGCCAGCATACCCATAGTCAATACGCATGCGCAAGACATCAGAGTTGCATTTATTCCTTTAGTTTTGTTTGAAAAATAGACTTTAAATCCCTTTAGTCATGTACAAAAAAAACTGAGGTGAGATCACTATACACTTCAAAAAACAGAAAGTTCTTTTTCATAATATTCACTCGGTGTCTCGCTATGGGATGCAGCCTCCTGCAGCCCTGATAGAAGCATCTATCTCAATCTGCCAATCCTGATTGGCCGGTGGAAGTGCCCGTCATACGCCACGCCCTGTAGCTCCGACTACTAAAGCGTGTGCGGATCACGGCACTCCAATTCAAAACCTCTTCTCACCTGAGAGCTTATCTCACGTCGGAGCCTTCGCTAGCTTAACTGCCCACAGACGGACCTTGCTAGTTTCCGTCGCCGGACGCTAGCACTGTGCTCTGGCTTCTGCCCTGTCCGCTCACTCCAGACCGGACCGGTATCCTTTTTGTCTCTCTTCACGGCGGAATCCCTCTCGGCTCCCCTCCACGGACGCTCGAGTCGGACGAGCATTTAGCACACCAGCTACTTCCTCGACCCCGCCACGCTAGCACGCCAGCTAGCTACGGTTCCTTTCCCTACCAGCACTCCAGCTCGTCGGGAAATGGCGGCCGTCCAAAACCCCCACGCCAGGGGAGACTACCGTCTTTGTGGCTGCGGGAATAAAATTTCAGGGAAGGACACCCACCTGGTGTGCAGTACCTGTCTGGGAGTCGACCACGCCAGGTTGGCCCTAGAAATTCCCGGCTCCTGTGGACACTGCAAAGTGTTCACGGTTAAGAGCCTCAGACGCAGGCTAGCCCGCCAGGTTAGCGTCTCGGACTGTGACCCATTCCTCCCCACCGCCGCACCAGGTGCAGCCGCGGAGGAGGACGTGGACACAGCTGGGGAAGCTCCGGAGACTGACTACGACTGGCTCCCTCCCTCCATGTGGACCTGCTCGACGTGTGCAAACGCGCGGCAGAGAAGCTGGAGATTCCCTGGCCGGTCGCAATAGCGGAGCCCACCCGGTCCCGCTACGAAGGCAAACGGCTTCCCCTGGCACGAAATGCGGTGAAGCAGCTTCTCCCTGTCTTCCCCGAGTTGCTGACGGAGCTCTCCAAAACATGGACTAGCTGCCCATACAGCAACAGGAGCCCTATTTCGGGCGCAGCATCCCTCGACTGCGAGGCGATGGACGGCCACGGCCTCCTCTCCATGCCTCCGGTGGAAGTCCCGGTAGCTGCGCACCTCTGCCCAGGCAGCGTGAGCCAGCTGTCTGCAGCTTCCCCCAGGCGCCCGACGCTGCCAGCTAAGCCCGAACGGTTTCAGTCTGCGCTTACCGAAAAGGCATACAAAGCAGCAGCCCTCTCGGCCAGAGCCCTCAGCGCCCTCTCCATCCTCACTGCCTACCAAGCGGAGTTGTTTGGCGCGTCTGCTGAGGAGCAAGACCCGGATGCATGGGAGGAGATGGCGGTCATCGCGGACCTGTCTCTCCGTATCCAACGTGTCGCGGTCCAGGCCACAGGGAAGGTGATGGCAACCCTCGTCGTCCAGGAGCGAGCGCGATGGCTCAGTCTCGCTAACCTGACCGACAGGGAGCGGGATGACATCCTGGATATGCCGATCGTCCCTGAAGGCATCTTCGGCTCTGCATTGGCCACAATGCAGCAAAGATGTGAGGCAAAGAAAAAGGACAACGAGGCCCTCAAACTTTGTCTCCCTCGGAAA